CCCGCAACCGCATGCGGTAAAGAAACGCGAGAAGCTGTGGAAATATGTATTCAGACATATCTTTTTCAGTTAAACGAAAAATAAGAATTCTCCACAAGGAGTAAAACGCATATCAGATGCGGCCCAATGTATTATTGGAGAGACTCCGAAGGCAAAATGGAGTATTTCATATGCCAGGTGCGCCCGAAAAATTCTCACAAAAATGGAGGAGATGGAAATAATTTACCGGTTACGGATTCACAGACGTCTTGTTCCAAGATTTTTCCATTATCGGAAATGTAAGAGAGACATGTATTCTCGAATCGGACTTTGAAATAGTGAATAAAATACTGATGGAATAATAATGCTCTGTTCGATATTACAGTTGAGAATTGTCAAGGCTTGGGTCTAGAACGAAATAATTCGATTGTGAATTGAATTTCGAAGTACTGAATAAAGGGGATAATAAATCTTTAATTCTCTCTATTTTGAACACAACGGAAATTATCAGTGAAGAAATGAATGAGACGTTATAATTTTGGAACAAAAGCTCCTCAAGTAAGACGACTAGAATATCTATAATACATGTCTGGAGGACTAAATTAAATTGGTTACGATTTCGAAAAAATGATTTTTATGGTGGATAACTAATTGTTTATAAATTATTCACAGAAAATGCTTGTAATCTTCAAAAATTGCAATTTTTTAATTATTCCATCAATCTTCCTCTAAAATTATACTTTCTAATTTTTTTTCAGATTAAAAAATTGTTTTGTAACGTTTCAATATCGACATTGAAAGTCAGACCTGCAATGTTTAAATAATGAAATGGTCATTGGGGAAAAATAGCCAAATTACTTGGATATCCTTAATGTCTCAATTTGAGACCCTAATAAGGCCTTAAATTTAGGAATCCAAACGTCTTAAAAAAGGGTGTCACATGTGTCTCAATTTCATACAATAGTTTTTCCAGACCGCATACTTCTTATTTCCTCCGAATAATTCCCATTGCGTCATTGGTTTTCGTGCGCAGGTGGAGATCATTCGGAGTTATTTTATTCCCTTGAGAATGGCGCTGTTATGGCTCGGTGGGCACACGCAATATCAAGGCTAATTGATGTTGATATACATTGAATAAATTCCTCGTTATTTGAATAGCGAGGAAAAAATGTTTCTCGAATAAGAAGCCTGTCTGCGGGGGAAAACCCAATGAGAGAAATAGAGCTGATGTAAAACTTGCAGTGCCCATTACCCGTTAATAACATTTCCGCATATTATTACATTCGTAATCTGGCAGTGGTCTGGCAGCATTGGTTATGATTCCTCGTTAGTTCTATTCTATCCTGTATATGCAATGTAATTGCGATATGGATACTCAGGGTTTTGACATATAGAAAGATGGAAAAAAGGGAGAGAAAACCTCAAGCTAATTAGTAATGGAATAGCCAGCCCATGACGACTCTGGCCCGCGGGCTAGTGGAAACGACCGCCGCATGTCAGACTTGAAAGAGAATGCAGGAAAAATTACGACTCGTGTGGAATACCATTTTTTTTCCTTTTTCATAATAAAAAAAAAAGATGAATCACATCGACAAGTTGCGCCAGAACTGAATGCTGTATTCCGAATTGTCTGATCGATAAATTTTCGGGGTACTTCTCCCGAAAAAAACCATCAATCTCCCCCTCCCACAGTCCATTGAAAACTCAATGCTCCTTTCGCGGTTGAAAAGGTGAAACTTTTTGAGTCGTTCGTTATTCCTGGATGAATCGAACTTTGAAATCACTCCTGTCATACTGTGTGAAGAACGATAGCAATAGTGGGAGTGTGAGGTTGAAAGGGTATAGCCCGATTTCCCCGAGTAGAGTTTCGAGACACACGCGCTCGCCCTGAAACGACGAGAGGCCTTCCCCCGCCCTCTTCAACGGGTGGAAACAGTTCTTCTTAAACTGAGTTTGGTAAACCCCTCGTACAAGTCAAAGTTAGAAGGCGCATGGGGGAGTGGGGAGGAACAGTAAAAGAGAGAGGAGAGGGTACGTGGCGTCGAAGCCATGGTGGGGAGCAAGGGCGAAGGCGCCGTAAAAGTTGGTGAAGTCGATTTTGCAGTTGGAGTTGGTAATGCGATTTGTGCCGGAATAAATAGTTCGAGAGGACCCCCCCCGCCCCAAGTTACTCCATCTCACTCACACAGTGCCCTCTCGGTGCCTTTTTTTTCATTCCTCTCATTTTAACCCCCCCGTTTTTTTCACTCTCGTTTCACCCCGTTGATTTTTTTCTCCTCCTCTCGTCTTCCATCGGCTATCCAACTCAAGTTTGGTGTCGCGAGCACGTCTACCATCGGACGTAGCGAACGTGACGTCGTTATAGGAGGATTCTTTTGTACATTTTTTATCCTTCTCCGGTGGGGCTTGTCCTTTTTTAGCGCTCGATCTCTCTTCAGCGGGAGTACTGCTGGATGGTTCATCTCACTTTTCCTCATCTGTGTCGCCGATTTATGCTGTCCGATCAGCCGTGACGTGCTATCCCGATTCTAACACAACTGAATTGCCGAAAATTGTCGATAATGGCGGAGACGCAAATCGAATCTTTTAGTTTGGATAAAGACCTTGAGGATTTTCCCGGTTGTCATGTTAAATAGAGAATCGTTTTTCAATGGTTCAAGTCGTACGTAACCTTTTTGCGATGAAAAACTTTTCATCACACTATAATTTTATTGAAATTTCAACGAATTTCGTTGTTGTGTCTAATGTCTTAAATTAAGACGACTCGGAGACACTAGTTTTTACAGTGCGGTTAGCTCCACATTCCCCCACGAATCCATAATAGATAGATGTGGTTAACGCGAACACAATAGCCTCTATATATACCGGAGTCAACTGCTTGAACAGCTTGCATTAAAATCGAAATTAGCTAACCATTTGTCTTCTTGGGTTCAGTTTAATCGCGACTTTCTACAGTGGGTGATTTATCATCCAGCAGGACCAACTTCTCCAGAGAGAGTTTGAGCTGAAACCACACATACCACGGTGCACCCTCATGTCAGGGCGCCCAACGTAATTTCTCTCCGCTACAATATTCCTCGTCCATAGAGACATATCAGGAGTGAAAAAAAAAACAATTAAATTCCTTTCCAGCGTTTCGCGGGTGATGAAAAGCGAGAACCCCCCCCCGGTTATGGTCGCGTTGCGTGCTCACCGTAATAACTGTGGGAAATCACCTCTCACACCGCGCCAACAAACCGCCCATGAGTTCCGCCTCACTCGGTGCACCGTGGGCTCATGTGATTACTGTTTTCTTTTTCCCAGTCGGGTTTTTTTTTATTTCTTACGATGTCTGGCTTGTTCTCGCGTCACCTTGTGCACTCGCCATTCGCGGAACATTATTCTAATGTTTTGTGGATTATGGGTAACAATGAAAATTTAAATTACGCGGGGTAATTGGTTACTTATGCCGAGAGAGTCAATCCAGCGATTTTCCCACAGTTGTTTAACATTTTATTGATTTTTTATCTTATACTCTGGTCAAACGGTTTGACTGAAATTTCTGAGACAATTCTTGGAAATTTTCATCACTGAAAGGAATTTCGTAATTGAATATTATCATTTGATTTAGAATTTGAGTCTTCTTATGATATTAATTTTGTTATTGACTTTGAATTCACGAATTAAAAATTTCCCAACAACATTGTAACATTGATAGATCCATATCTAGTCCATAAGAGAGTGGGATTTTGAAGGTGTCCAAGTTCCCGTTTCCGTTAATAACTCAAGATTGAAAGGCGATAAATTTTGGATTGAGACAATTACATACCTGTCACTCCATGCCACAAAAATGCCTCTCGAAATTTCGTCATCTCTCTCAAATCCTCAGGCACCCAAAGTCAGAAGTCATTTGAAATTGACCTGACTTTCGTCTCTTTGTTTACATCTCGACATTCGTGCATTAAAAATTCCCGAATACTGACGGCATTGCAACATTGTTAAGTGCGATACCCAATACCTGTCCGGATATCGGTGAAGTCGAGCGTGTCAGTTCGCCGGGAGAATGGCATTTCGAAGGTGTGTACGAATATTCACATGTTTGACGTTGTTAGTGGGTTAGTCTACCGAAACGACAGTCCAGCACATGTCATACTGGATTCTATTGCGTCTCAATGTGCAACAAGCATATAATAGAGGAAAAATAAACTGATACGATTATTCACGGTCGCCGATTGCGAACGCTCGCGAGGTGGGAGATTGCCAGTTGAGAAAACATATCGGAATTTAGTATCGTTATTCAATGAATTGATAATGGCCTATGCCACCTTCATTAGCCAATCTATCAGTAATGACGCTACACTTATGCAATTGAATAGTTTGAATTTCAATCCACTCACTGCAAAATTAATCGGAAATTCTCAATTTCTTGTTTGAGAACTGGACTTTCGGATGATTCTGTCATCTGAAATGAAAACAAGAACGACCCGAAAAATTTTATAAATCGTTTTCTTTATTCCAATTGGAAAATGATTTTCTCAGCTCAAGACATTTTCTCCTTTTTGACCTAGTCTGTCGTTATCACTTTGCTGCATCTAGGAAAAAAAATTATGATTTCCCATTGTCGGATTATCCAAAGAGTCGCCTCAATTACTTCCGATAAAAATCTATTTTCTCAGTAAGAATATTAATATGCCTACGCGTTTGGTGCAGAAGCAATTATCCATGTGTTTACACTCCGAGTTGTCCTTGGTACGTAATGCAGAATGAGAACGAATCCTTGAAGTTTTGAACTATGAAGATTATGGAGAAGGTCACCGTTCCAAATCATGTCATTTTCCCATCCCGAGAGAGTTGTAAAAAACTGGCAAATCAACTCATTTGGCCGAAGGTAAGCGGCGATTGGAGATTATCACGCTGAGAAAGTCACTAAAAACTCCGAGTGGGAAGGAGCAATCGTGGTCCATGTTGACATGGTGGGGAGGAGCACGATAGGACCGAGCCTAGCGAAAAAATTCTCATGCAGTAGAGTTGCATTCGTCTACGAAATAACATATCCAGTGAGAATCTCTCGATTCATAATAGACAAGAAAAAAAATTGTGCAATAAAATAAAGGGAGAAAATGAAATTGCTGGTGAATAAAATAATCTTCATCATCGGTATCGTGAATGCAGTGCACAGTGCGGGCCTCGGTGTTCTATACGAGTGGAAATATTTGGACTGGCAATGGCCATATACAGCGCTGACCGGTAAAAGTTATATCCCTGAAAATCCTTTCACCCAGGATGTCGATGTGGACGTCAGCGGTCGTGTTTTTGTAACTAGTCCCCAATGGTTGGAGGGTACACCAATAACCCTGTCGTTGGTAACCAATCTTCAGGGCCCTGGGGGTCCTCTACTCACACCCTATCCTCACTGGTCCTGGCATACGCCCAACGACTGCGACAAACTCATTTCTGTTTACAGGCTGGCGGTAAAACGATACAGATTATTTCGTATAACTTAACCAAAAACGCTGACGATCATTACTATTGCCTTATGAAATTTATGTAGATCGACGAATGCAACAGATTGTGGTTCGTTGATGTTGGACGGGTGCAGGACAAGCCGATATGCCCGACCAAGATCATGATCTTCGATCTCTTCACGGATCGTTTGATCCACAAGTACATTGTGCCAGCTGATCAGACATTCAATGGAAAAGCATCACTGGTGACGCCGATTGTCGAGCTCGGTGATACCTGCGATGACGCGTACCTTTACATAGCTGATGTTGGTGAAAATGGGCTTGTAATTTACAACCTCCAGCAGGATCGCTCCTGGCGGGTGAACAATACACGCGGTAACGCATTTGGTCCCGATCCCGATGGCATGAACATAACAATCGCTGGAGAATCGTTTGACCTCACCGATGGCACCCTAGGAATGTCCCTATCGCCACCTGGATTTTTCAAACAAAGGTATATACCAGACGATTTATTCATTTTTTTCGCAGTATTATTTCCCCTTCTGCTCCTCTGCAGCTCCGCAATTTCTCATTTATCCCCGGAAATTCATTCCAATAATAGCTATATGCATATCAATATCTGTTGATGGATTCCATCAAAAATTGATTGCTCGAAAAAGCAGTTTGAGGGAAGAGAAAATAAAACCGAATATTCTCGATCAACCTTTTCCAGATATCTCTACTTTAATTCACTGGCGAGTTATCATCAAAAGTTCGCTAGTGTTGATACATTGAAGATGAGCGAGTTTCAAGAGCCATTGATCTTCGAGTCTATCGTGAAACGACAGAGTCAAGCTGGAGTTCAGGCGACATCACGAAAAGGTGTTCTATTCTTTCAACTAGCTCAGCTCACGGCGATAGCTTGTTGGAGCATGGAACGACCATTCACTCAAGATAATATTGAGATTCTTGCGTTCGATGAGGATGCCCTGCAGTATGTCAGCGGTATCAAAGTGACAAATAATTATCAGGGGGAGGAGGAGCTGTGGTTCAATACGAATAGACTCCAGAAGACGATAAAAATGACGCGCACGCCTACTGAAGTCAACTTCAGAATTATCATGGGATCTGTGGACGAAATCATCAATGGAACTAAGTGTGAACCCCGGGGTCACGGTCCTTATCCGGACGTCTCGACATGGCGGCGGATATGAGAATATTTTTTAAAAATTTTCTCTGTTCTTAGATTATTTTCGCAATTTTTGCTGTACCTAATTATATCACATTTATAATTCCCTTGAGGATTCCCTCTGGATTATTCGTGTAAATACATAGATATATCCCGAAATATTTTAAACTAGTACACCTCACATGCAGTGAGTAACGACAGACAATGGTCCAACATATAGGGATTTAGAGAGAGCGAGGATTGCTGGCAGTGACAGGAGGTATGTAGCAATTTAGTTAACCGTTTCATTGCTGCCTTTTGAAATGTAACGATGAAGCCTGTGCCTGACAGGCCCGTCGCCCCAGACTCGAATGTTTTGGAAAGCCTCCCTTCCCCTCCCTCCTCACCGCCCCCGTCACCCCTGGAAATACGAATCATGGTGGTATAATTTGAACATCTAATCAGAATTGTTCCAAAACTTCCCAAACCCACAAGGGAATTTTCCTCTGTAATCAACTCCACCGGCGAATTTACGAGAAGACGATCTTATCGTTTATATTTTCCCCTGTTTTCCCTGATTTGCACTGGAGTTTTCCGGCAAGTACGAGAAAATCGGTGACTATCTCGGATCTAAACGCAGGGGGGGGGGAGAGGTAAAGGGGATATGGGAAACTAGCATTATGGGTTAGTATCTGGATAATATCCCCGGCGATAAACGTTGTCGTATTATCGGCTAGCAGAGGTTCGATATCACGACGGAAAATTTAAGCAAAACTGCGCCCGTGAGGTGAGTACTTGAAGAAGAACCGAGTGGGGCAATACAGTATAGACGACCTATTGAGGGGATCGCGGGGGGCGGAGGAGTGGGGGGAGTGCGGAATGCCACGAGTGACGATAAACGGCACACACGTGCAAAAGCACGTATCCCACCATCGAACTCGTAACCGTTAAGGGTTGGCACGTGGAATTACCCGGGCGATGCGATAGTAACCGGAAATGAGTCCTTTCACCCTCTCGTTCAGGCGTCTCTACTACATTTTCCTTTTGGTATCCCCTGAAAAAAAAAAAATATGAATCCTGAGTACTTTCAGGCGTTTTACGACGCGAGTGCTTCTAAAGCAACTTTACGAGTGTCCAGCATGAAAAATTCCTAAATAAATTTGCATCAGTTTTACAACCCCTAATATACATAACTACCGGTGTTTTGGCACTGATACCACCCCTCAAAAACAAGACAAGAGATCCCCCAACTGCTTGGGATTCCGTAATATACTGGAAATCCTGAGGAGACTAGAATGATATCTTCCCCCGCTCCCCCTTCCCCTCCTCTCTTTTATCCATGAAGCCCCAGAAACGATGCAGAGGAAAAGACACGACGAGTTTTCTTTTATTGCCGAGACACGTTTCGAATTCTTGAGAGTCGCTTTAAACGAATACCCAGAGAGTTGAATGATACGCTACGTCGGTTTTAAGATTAAATTTGAATTTTTATACTGTACATAGATTCCAGAAATAAGATTTTTTGCGTAATTTTTTGATATAAAAATGTTATTTCAATTTTTGCGGTGAAATGCAATACTCGTGAGCTCGAGGGGAGCAATGAAATTCAAAACTGAGAACAATATCAGGTTTATTGTCAAGTAGATTATATCGTGAAGCATGAAATAGCCCTAAAAAATGATGTAAAGAAAGTGGATGTACAGCGGCCATGATGGTGTTCATGAAAGTTTGGTTAGTGTCGTTAGCCCTTGGAGAAAGAAGATGAAGCGTTGCAGCGACGGTTGCATTCTCATTGGCCCCGTTGTATACATATACACATTGTAACTCACGAGGGGGATATTTCCTGGAGGTGAAATTGCAATGGGCGTCTTTATTAAAGCGACTGTATAATTCATACGCATACCCAAGCTGACAGTGTCGTGGGAGGGGGGAGGGACTCCAGGTATATAAACACACGTGAGATTGCACTGGTGGCTGCACTCCAGTGTAGTTTGCGCTCATGTATACATACATATGTGCTACATATTCCAGATGATCGTTCCCCTTGTTCACGGTGGTCATTCCCCGCGGCCACGTGTTTCCTCTGCGCATTGCGCTTGTCAGCGACTCTGGTCAGCGCGTAATTTACTGTCCCAGAGGCTTGTGACTACCCTTGAAACTATCAGGTTGCCGATGCGGATCCGTTGCCTAAACGGATGTCGCCAGCATCTGCCTGAATGTAGTGAATGGGCGGGGGGAGATGGATAGCTGTTTGAGGGCGAGAGGAATAATAATAAATAATCTCTGTTCTTAGATTATTTTTGCAATCCTCCTACTAACTCATTTCGCGACAAAACTTTTTCCACATCATTCAGCAGAAAAGAATCCGCCAATGGGAATATGTTTAATTGTACTTATCTAAATTTGTTCATGTTAACAATCTAGGATTTAAATTTATGATTGGAGAAAGCTGCTATCACTGTGACTTCATGAGAAGTCTGACGATATTATTCTGTTTCAGGGTGTGACGGGCGACCGGCTGGCCGGGGGCGCCGCACACCTCCTCCATCTCTTCTTCTTCTTGCCACGACCACAACACACAATGTAACAACAACTCAACCACTCCGCGTGAACCACGTTCTCAATGTACTTAATGTGGTACGTTAACATTTCAAACAAAAAAGAACATTCCCATAATCGGTGTCTCTCAAAAGTGTCATTATTTTATTTCATATATTTATTTATTCATGTTCACTATTGATTTTTTTTATGTTCACACTTGTTGTCACTGTTAATCCTCTATTGTCCACGAACCCTTGTAATTCGCTACACACGTTTTTCATTTTTCTGAATGAATATACAACGGCCGTTCCATTGGATCTGGGTTGCATCTGGCTTCTGAATTTCTTGCGAGAAAGCCGAGGGATCCAGAGGCTCGATTCAACCGCAGGATCTAGTGCTGTGGCTATTCAATTACTTGTAAACATATTTTATTATCGATTACATTGTTCGATTATGTCTTCACTGTTCGCTGAGTTTTGTTACAATGTGACATGTGGTTGGTTTAGTTTTCGTTGGTTTATCGGTGTTCGATGTTGGCTGCTGTTGTTGGTTGTTAGGTGTTTAGTGGTCACTCTCTGTATTGGTACCCCACACCCTCCCATCATCTGCCTTGAGAACTGACAAAGTTTTCAGCATCCCACTCCCCTCACCCCCACCCCCAGTCTTCAAAACTTAATGTTTAGGAATCAGAGCTCCATTACAGTACATTTATCATGAGAGGAGACGACAAAATAATGTAAGTAATAATACTAGAAAAACTAGTGTCTGAAATTAAGACATTAAGTGTCTTATCAACTCGCGATTTCTCATTTATTCTTCTAAATTCTCCATTCATTTTTTCTGAAGGATAATGAGGATAAAATAATTTTTGGGATGAAAAATACTGATGAAGACTATTTTTTTTAAGTATTTTTTTTTCCTCGAATTAATCGCCTTAAATTAAGATGTCTCAAAGACAGTAGTTTTTACAGCGAAAAGGATCAAGTTTTTATCGATCGAGTCGGCCTCGTGTTTCAAGGGGAACGTTGTGTATTAAAAATTCACAGCTTACGGAATATACACTTAGGGTTACATGGGTCTGGGCGAATTCGGAAATTTCCTATTCCCGTATACGTGAAATTGGAGAATTTAGGGAAGGGATGGCTGAGAATGCGAATTCACATGCGGATCTCGTGCCACAGTCTCGCTTCGCCGGATTCGCTCAGCCAGTGAATCGGATTCGGGCTCGCCGGCCCATTTGATTAGAGGGCTCACCTAACCTCCAAGGGTATCCCTGAAAAAAAATCCTGTCTATACTGGATGGGGTGGGTTAATGCGATGTATATACGCTCTCGGTTCGAGCCAATGTATTGCATGTTGCAAGTGTTGTCGGAAAAATTGGGCAATTTATTCGGCGATTGATGAAAAATTTCAGATAGTAAACTTCAGCTGAAAAATTCAGTAGCGAAGCGGTAAACCGGGTTAAGTCGATTTTTACTATTGGCTAGTTTTTGACGAATATCTCGGAATCTAAAAGAGATAGAAAGATTTTTGTCATGACCTTTTTTGTAGAGCCAATAGAGCGTTATAAAAAAAGTCATGAGAAGAATTTTGCTATCTCTCTTAGATTCCGAGATATTGAGCAAAAACTGGCTAATAGTCAAAATCGACGTATCTCGGTTTACCGCTTCACTACTGAATTCAAGAACGCTTAAGACATTTGTCGACCCGTCATAGAGAAAATTACCTAACTAGTTGTTGAAATTTAATAACTAATTGTAGATTATTGCGAAACCATTTTGTGGACGAGACAGTGATGGATTATCAAGATGCAAATGATTGCGGAATTGTTTTTGTCAAGAATTGGAAAGTTTACGGGAGAATCAATTAAAAATGTAAATCTTAATACAAATATTCCATGAAAATTACTAGAAATCGGAAAAATTATTGAGTTCTTAACTCATCGAATATTCAGCGTAATTTGACACTAAATATTCACGTTTAGATTGAAAGTTAGAATAAGTTGGGAAATCCTTGTCTGCCTGCACGCATAAATGAGTACGGAATGTACGGTAACTTCTGTAATTTATTCCTCCGGAAAATAGAATATGGATCAATTATTGTATTGAAAAGTTGTCGAGTAGAATTGAAAAATCTTTTCTGAATTTTAATTAATTAGTTGGTAAATTTCACTACCTACTTGTTGAAATTCACCAAATATTATAATTTCCTCCGTGTTCAAACTGCCTATTGAATGAAGAAAAATATCTCCTAAATTCTATTTTTTTCCTCTCTAAACCAAAATTTTTCTACTTGATTCCGATTCCCTCCCCCTCTCCCGTTTTCATAGTCGATTCCAATGCTCTCACTGGGACATATTAAAAAGTAATTGGATTTCGATCTGGGATGTTGGCGACGGTTGGAGATGCCAGCCGAAAAAAACCGAGTAGATCCAGTGGCTGGAAAGAGGACATTTGGACAGATTGTCGAGTAAGAGTAAGGGGGGGGGGAATAAAACCGAAGGGATTATATGGCATTCGATGAGGGGTCCGAGAATTCGTACGTGCACTCCTCTCTGCCCACCGAAATAATGGACACTCGTTAAATTTAATTGGCACATAATTATCGCTGGAGGATCCGTTGGAATTGCAAGTGGGGAAAAAAAAAATTCCCGCGTAACCAATCGTCGTTATTCCATATCCTGCCCTAATATCGATGGAATTTCAAGCCAAAGGGCGACCGAAGAGTCACATTTGGGGTATGGCACTGCGCAAAGAGACAACCAGCCCTGAGTAAGAGAAAGACGTGACTATTACCGAGAGAGAGAGAGAGAGAACGTGTGAGTGTGTGTGTGCGTGCAGACGGTATCGGCTTAACGAGCCTGTGGCCCAGCCGATTTCCAACTCGATGGGTAGTCTCCACACCATCCCCAGTGTATTTCCAAACTCGGATAGCGAGGCCTCGATTATGAGAATAGGGGGTCACCGAAACGAGAGAGAAAATCCCCCCGGCATACCATGGTTACCATCGAATCAGCGATTTCAAAGTTGAAAATGCCGAATATACGATAAATTCCTGCCATTCACGTACTCAAAATTTTTCACAGCCCGAAACTATCCAACAGCTGAGCCCATTGAATCCCCAGTGATCAACCCGAGAATTGACGAAATTAATTTCAGCTCAAATCTATGGAGTAGACACAGACCCCCGGGAACTATAATTAAAAGCCGTAAATACGATGGCTACAGGTATAGCAGAACCACTGTATGGAGTTAGGAAAATGAGGTGAGAGAAAGGGGAGAGGGGAAGTGAGAGAGAGAAAGAGAGAGAGAGAGAGAGAGAGAGATTGTAGCGAAGGCAAATTAATTTATGAATCAATTAGGGACGTCGGGGCTTTCGGATACACTATCGGTTTGAGTTCGGTACCGTGTGCTGTAAATGCTGGAAATCGTCGTGTATAGCCCGGATTGTTGGACGTATCGGGTGCCGGGAGGGGGGAGGGAGTGTTGTAGGTTAGTATGAAGCTCCCCCGCCCGTAAAACTGATATCAGAGTTCCAATAAATAAGCCGACGATATCATCTTCCATTCCGATAATTATTGTTTGGTAGCGGTGTTAATTAATTAAGGGCTACCGTGTGCCGCGTACCAGTTGAAACCGGGAGGGGGAGGGGAGTAGGTGTGGCGTATTGAGTCGCTTTAGCGTACGGTGTAATCGTCGCTCGTGGCACTGAAGTGTCGATCGGACAAGGTGATAAGATCCTCGGGTTACTCTCCGAGCTAATTACCGGATGAAAGAGGGGCCTATCGGTGGACGTTCGACGCGTCCCGCAAACGTGATCCGCGATATCGTAATTGTAGCGGGGTGGGAGGGGGATGATATGAAGCTGTTGTGATTTTGATTTAATCGGAGAGGGATAGGGTCACGGGATTTTGGCGTGGGAGATTCATGACAGTGCAATTTATTTAGATTTTATCACTCGTTCGTTTAATCTTCATTGGAGAAATCCACTGCAGTGCGAAGGAATTGAAATTTCAGGACCATTTAATGGGGAATTCACAGAGGACTGGTAGTGAATTGAATTTATTAGAATTTCCTAACTTAGTTGAGGTTTCAATCGAAACATTAATTATTTCGTCAAGCAAAATGTGGACTGAAATGTTGACTCCACAGTAAAATCTAGACTGAAATCACTAGGACTGTATTTTAGTACTATTTCCCTTCCCTCGTTGCTGTCCAACCCACTTTATCGAGTTGGAGACCATCAATTCCAAATCTAATACGCACTGGATGCAACAGTATGCTCGGTATATTTCCCCTCGCATTACAGTTTTCATTTTTCCCCCGCCTTTTTTCCGGTTTATGTTTGGGAGGAAAATTATTGGGAATGGGTATCATCGGTTCCCCCCCCCCTTCCCCCTCTGTATAGAATACGCTTTTAGTAGAGAAAGGGATATAGTAGTAACTGGCGACGTTCTTCGCATAAAAGCATCGGAAGCGAGGCATCAGGATCCCGTAAAGCCCCCTTTCGCTTCTAGTGTGTGCAATTCGGCTGTGAGCCAAGGGAAAAGTTTCATAATTTATTAATTTACCCGGCCTTTTTGGGTCAGGATCGTATCCGGTGGATAAGAGAGATGGTAGCTACGCTGGCAGACTTCCCACAGACGAGAAATGAAATGGAGGGAAGAAAAAAATGAAAATTATTCCTCGTCAACTTTTTCCATGCTATTTCATATTTTCAACTTCATAATTTATGTATGAAGTATTCCGTGCCGCACCAAAAAAACTAGTGTTCGAAATTGAGGGGTTTTTGTCCATTTTTAAGACTTTTTTAAACGTCTCGTCCATGTTTTTTATTTCAAGACAAAAATTTCTGGTCTTGACAGTGCGAATCTTTTCGATTTTTCGCTGAATATGAAAATTAAAGTTCCGATTTTGATTCTGAAATTTCTCCGCTTTATAAAAATACAGCTACTTAATCCAGCTTTGTTGTTACTCCAAGAGCGATCTTCTGGGTTATCGTTGCCGCATGACAGATATTCAATAGCCAATAGATCCGCGGATACATACATGAATTGGGAAAATGCATTCGATATGAGGACGAGGGGGGAGGGTTGA